TTGAGTGAGTACTTATTCTAGTGATTGTTGTAATTTAGAATAAAGTACTAATTCTAGTGATTGTTGTTATTTAGAGTGAAGTATTAATTCTAGTGTTTGTTGTGATTTAGAGAATAGTACTAATTCTAGTGATTGTTGAGGTTTAGAGTGAAATACCATTTCTAGTGATAGTTTCCAGTCTGTGAATTCTATAAATAAACTCGTTTACATTGATAAATAATGACTGGGAATTACATTTCTATAAATAAACTCGTTTACATTGATTAATAATGACAGGGAATTACCATTCTATAAATAAACTCGTTTACATTGATTAATAATTACAGGGAATTACAATTCTATAAATAAACTCGTTTACATTGATTAATAATGACAGGGAATTACATTTCTATAAATAAACTCGTTTACATTGATTAATAATGACAGGGAATTACAATTCTATAAATAAACTCGTTAATATTGATTAATAATGACAGGGAATTACATTTCTATAAATAAACTCGTTTACATTGATTAATAATGACAGGGAATTACCATTCTATAAATAAACTCGTTTACATTGATTAATAATTACAGGGAATTACATTTCTATAAATAAACTTGTTTACATTGATTAATAATGACAGGGAATTACATTTCTATAAATAAACTTGTTTACATTGGTTAATAATGACAGGGAATTACCATTCTATAAATAAACTCGTTTACATTAATTAATAATTACAGGGAATTACAATTCTATAAATAAACTCGTTTACATTGATTAATAATGACAGGGAATTACATTTCTATAAATAAACTTGTTTACATTGGTTAATAATGACAGGGAATTACCATTCTATAAATAAACTCGTTTACATTAATTAACAATTACAGGGAATTACAATTCTATAAATAAACTCGTTTACATTGGTTAATAATGACAGGGAATTACCATTCTATAAATAACCTCGTTTACATTGATTAATAATTACAGGGAATTACAATTCTATAAATAAACTCGTTTACATTGATTAATAATGACAGGGAATTACATTTCTATAAATAACCTCGTTTACATTGATAAATAATGACGGGGAATTACCATTCTATAAATAAACTCGTTTACATTGATTAATAATGACAGGGAATTACATTTCTATAAATAACCTCGTTTATATTGATAAATAATGACGGGGAATTACATTTTCAGGCAAAGCTGTACTTTTTGGGCCTACATCGAACATTTTTATATCTGAAAGCTCTGTTTTTGTCTTCAGTTCGGCTGATGAAAATGAGTCAACTGATGATTGAGATGTTTCGACTGTGGACGCAGATTATGATCCTAATAAAGATGCTGAAAGCAGCAGTAGTGATTCAGGGGATGATCCCAAAGATAAAATACACGTACATCACATGCATATAAATCAATCTGGTAAGTTGAGCAGGATGCTTTTCACTTTCAACAAATTTGAATAAAATGGAATAAAATTTTCTTCTTCTGATTTATTTTCACTAGTTGATTATATTTTTTCTGATCATTCTCGAAATTCTGTGATTAATACAACTTTTCTTTTGCAGGTGAATCAGCACAAGATCTGCAAGTTGAAAGTGAAACGGCTCAAGGTATAACCGTTGTGAATCAACCTCCAGAAACTGTTGGTCGTAATCAAGCGCACTTTGGGGATGGTGTTCGTCCCATGGCCAGGCGTCATCAACAGACTGAAGCCGTCCTTACCAGAAAATTTAAGTAGTTGGAAATCCAATGTCAGGAAACGACTCAAGCAATCTGGGAAAAATTCCTGAAATTTCAGGAACAAGACATCTGATTGAAAATTGGAATGGTGCAATCAGTCTCCCAAATAAGCATAAAACTTTTAGCAATCCTCTTTACAATCCCTATAATACTTTCTTCCAGTTAACATTTTATATGAATAATTGCATTAATACTGCTATTTTTGTGTCACATTTTCAATTCCATTCTAGATTAGTATTGATTCAGATGGTGAATGGATATCATCCGTAGTTCTTTTATTACTTTTTTAGGTTGGCTTTGAGAAAGATGTTGAAATGTCAATAAAGGTTCAAAAATGGATGTGATTGTTCGCTTCAAGAAATTACAAAAAGTAATTTTAAGAAGATATTCAGTAAATTGTGGGGCAGATGAATTTCTATTCAGATTTCCCTTTTCTTTATTGATTAGTAACAGTGTCTTACCTACCAAAAGAGTACAACCTACTAAATGTAGAGGAACAGTTGCACCATTTGACCAATTGTACCTTAGTTTTACATTTCTAGTAAAGGACTGATAAATACTCAGACCTGTGAGCAACCTTTATTTCATGAATAAGATGAAGCCAGAAAATCATCTTTTTATGCTGCGTCTATTACTTCGCTTTCGAAACGAAAATAAAAATCTAGAATATGTTTTGATACAATGTTTCATCATCATTGGTATATATGTAATATATATGTCTGAATAAGAATCATTTCAAAGATAACTGAAGGTATGTCAGTGTTATTTTGATATGGGAAATGCAGAAGGGACAATGGATTAAATAATGGGGGTATTTGGATTATGCTCTAGTATATATTTTGATTCAATGTTTTATCATCATTGGTTTATATGTAATATAAGAATATATGTTATAATAAAAATCAACGTTAGGGCTAAATTATTAAAAGAATTCAATATAATTTCAGATCCAGAGAATTTCCTAGAGACTTGCTATTGATACAATAGACTCATTTATTAAAGAACTAAATATAAATATCAATATACCGTACAATCCTATTGAAACTCTGGTAAGTAAACCTTATTGTATTTGTACTCATTACAATCGTCCATGTGAAAAGAAGCTACAAAACTGGAATCAATATTTTCTGCAGCGAAGCATATAATTGTAGATGATTGTTTCAGAGACGTGTTTTTCTTTTTCAGGAAGTACTATCTACATGTGGTTTTATATATATATTAGACAACATGATGCACATGAATTTTTATTACAAATTCTACATGAGCTTTATAACTTTAACCTAATGAGCCAGTAATAATCAACTATGTGTTAAACATGCTTAGAAAAGGTATTTGCTATTTTGAATTAGTTGTATTTTTGTTTATCTTAGCGTAAAGCCTAGTAATTAGCCTATATCCAAATGTAGAACATTAGACATTCAGGAGGATTTGGTATTGATAAAACATCCTTGGTAATTGTGTATTTAAACTTTTTTTTTCAATTATAGACAAAAGTATCAGAACAGCACTTTATTTTAACCATAGCACTCGAAGAAAGCATTCAGGCTGCAATAAATGCTCACTTTAATACAAGAATGCTTCAAGGAAAAAGGTATGTACTGTAAGTTTTAAATAGTGTTCAATAACATCATGAAGTTGCCCCATTTCATGACATGGCAATAATCCTTTCCATTATACCATTTTTATCCTTTTCAGATGACTAAGATGTCATAATTCTACTTTTGAAATGGTTAAAAAATTGAACATCTTGAACTCTCCATCTGTTGTAGCAATTCACCTAAATACCTAACTTCACCTAAGTCCAATCTTGCGGATAACAAAGTTGATGGTAATATAAAAGGTCGTGCTTATCAACCCTGGATGGATTGCGCTTGGTTGTATTATGCATCTAAACCTCAAACCTCCTGTAATGGAATTGTCTACAACATTCAAGCTAATGACAAGGTGCAGTTTGACGGATACTATTCTATTGGTTTGTCATGGAGTGGACGAAGGGACGGACAGACGAAGGCCATGTCAACTACAGCATTTTAGAAAATCTAAAGGACGGGTATGTCTTCTCACAGAAGTACGAGAGTGCGACCAAGCAAATTTCATGCCAGAGAAGATGAGCCGGGACAGATGGTGGGTGTTTAAATTGGAGAAAAGAGAAGAGAAATATCATATGATTATAGTTTAATTCAATAAATCTAAAATTGAACACATTTAAGTCTATTGTTATTTACAAAACTGTTCCTAACCCTACCTAACCCTACCGAAGACCCTCGACTTCAGCTTGTCTGTAGATCTTCAAAGTCGGAAGAAATATCCGGGGTTAGATTATGATCAAGATTGGTTTTATACGTCTGTCCGTCCCTTCCATGACAAACCAATAGAATAGTATCCGCTTGCTTCTGCAATGTCTATTCCAGTTATCCCTTCTCACCTCCATATTACATTTTTCACACTTTTTTAGAGCAATTGGTGCCATATTACTTCTAATGAAAACCATGTTTCAAATAAAGTTCCACAAAATCAGTATTTTAAAATTCATTACATTAAATGTAACGACGTTCTTAATTTACTTTTGTTAGTTGATTGTAAGAAATCAACTGGTCCTGATTTTATTGGTCCTAAGGTATTACGTTTATCAGCTGATAATATTATTACTATTATTACTAGTCTAACTTATATTATCATTTCATGTATAGTCAAACATACTTTTCCGAGATCAGTTTTTTAAAAAGGAGAAAAATCTTGAACATAATTATAGACCTATTACGATATTATCTACCGTATAAAATATTTGTAAAACATATTACTTTGAACATTACAAATTTCTTTAATACATTTGAACTTCCCTGTGCTGGTATTTTCATGGTGAGCACGACCTTTGTCAGATGCTTATGTGTAACACCAATGAAAACTTGTTACCGAGGAAGTGTTACTACTATTGTATTTGAACACATTTTATCGTAATTGACATAGCAGAAACAAATTTCTGAACAGGACGTTCAAAATATGGTGGTGGAAAATCTAATAAAGCGAAACCAGAAAGACAGATCTGTTCGACAGAGCTGTTAGCTTCCGTTTAATTGGTGAAACCATTCATGCAAGATTTAGCACGTGACAATTCGATGTCCATCAACCAATAACCGCAGATAAAATCTATATTCAATACATATACAGTATATACATTCGGTAGTGATCATTATTTTTTTTGGATAAAATGTATGCTACAGTGGCTATAAAATAGTTAATATTGTAAGAAAATGGAAACCGAAGTGGCAACACCAGTCATGTCAACATAACATCATTCGAAAGATTGGCATGGGCAGATACATTATTCGATGTGTTATTCGAAACATAAATATTGTTTGAAAAGAATGACAACAATTAATGAGTGATTTGGAAAGTACATTTATTAACATTAAAACTTCACCAGTTTATTTGATAATTTAACAGAAAAGAATTTGGC